CGGCAGCGCGCCCTGGCGCACCAGCTCGCCGCGCTCCGCCACGGGAATCTGCCACACATGACAACACCTCAGGAAGGATAAAAGTCATGCTCTCTCTGTGACTGTTGTACATCTAGCACCACCAACAACAACAGAGTGTGTCAGGCATACACACTTTCTGCCGGCGGATTTTGATGCCATTGTTTCGGGGCTTCAGGGTGTTTCATAAGTCTGTCACTTTACAAAACTCAAATCTTAGGAAACAACAAGAGTAACAAGATAAAACTGGTTTCGCTTGAAAGGTGAACTACGGTGGTGTTGTCAGGCGATTGTGACATCACACTCAATGTTTCTACGTTTTGCGTAACTTTCTGCACTGTTTTCATTTCACTGGAAAGGAGAAGGCGGTTTGTTTTTTTGAGAGTTTGATAAGAATGAATCACGGACACGTGTGCAATGCAGATTTCGAACAGCGTTTGGCAAGGAAAGGAATACCGTTTCGATGGTTTCCGCATAACCGAGGGCTCGCATATCGAAATTAGTGAAAAATGTCATAAAACATTCATTTCTCAGATATTTGCGCTCACAATTTTTGCGACAAAAACTCAACATCAATAGTTTCCAGGAAATATAACTTGGGGGTATCATATTTTGAACACTCATTGAGATCATGTAACGTAAACTGACACAGACATACGAAACAGCCCGTCTACTGGAAAGTCTGTAGTACTGCTTTGTGTCATATCATGTCAGGCAGTACTGACACCGGTAGTAAGGGATGCTGTCAAGCTGATAAAGGAGCCCTATCAGGCCTTTATGGCTTGTGGGACTCCAGAGGCAACTGATGGATAAGCGGAACGCAGCTTCAGCGGTCGCCGAGGCAAAAACTCAGTCATTGGAAGAGTTCGGTGAGGCCATGGAAGCCGACTTCTGGATTGCTTCGAGAAAATTCTGATCCACTGTCTCAGGAGGCGGAAGCAGTGCACCATTGACCTCACTGTGTACAGTGGGGATGGGGCGCTGCTGATCTTGACTCAGGACATTTTGAGTGGGTGGGCAGAATACTTTGAAGACTTCCTCAACTCTACCAACATGCCTTCCTTAGAGGAAGCAGAGTCTGAGAACTCTGAGGTGAGCTCTCCCATCTCTGCGATTGAAGTCACCACCGTGGTGAAAAAACTCGTCGTGGCAAAGCCCCAGGGATGGATGAGATCCGCCCGGAGTTCCGCAAGGCTGTAGAACTACATCGCATGGTCATTGGGGAGAGTGCCTCTGGATTGGCAGACCGGGGTGGGAGTCCCTCTTTTTAAAAAAGGGGACCGGAGGGTGTGTTTCGACAACAGAGGGATCACACTCCTCAGCCTCCCTGATAAGGTCTATACAGAGGTTCTAGAGAGGAGAGTGTGCTTTTCATCCCGGCCGTGGAACAGTAGACCAGCTCTACACCCTTGGTGCATGGGAGTTTGTCCAACCAGTCTATATGTGCTTTGTGGACTTTGAGAAGGCGTTCAACTGTATCCATCGGGGAGTTCTATGGGGCGGGCTTCGGGAGTAAGGGGTACTGAAGTCTCTGTCCCTATACCATGGATGTCAGGGTTTGGTTTGCATTGCTGACAGTAAGTCAGATTCGTTTCCAGTGAGGGTTGGACTCCGCAAAGGGTGCCCTTTGTCACCGATTCTGTTCAGAACCTTTCTGGACAGAATTTCTAGGCGCAGCCTCGGCCTTGAGGGGTTCCTGTTTGGTGGCCTCTGTATTGCATCTCTGCTTTTTGCAGAGGATGTGGTACTGTTGGCTTCTTCAAGACGGGATCCCCAAGTCTCACTGGAGCAGTTCGCAGCCGAGTTTGAAGCGGTTGAGATTAAAATCAGATTGACAGGCGGATCCGTACAGCATCGGCTATGATGCGAAGTTTGTATCAGTCTGTCGGCCAAAAGGCAAAGCTCTCGATTAATCGGTCGATCTACGTTCCTGCCCTCATCTATGGTCACAAGCTATGGGTCATGACTGAAAGAACGAGATCCAGGTTACAAGCAGCTGATATGAGTTTCCTCCGCAGGGCGTCTCTTCCTTGAAGATAAGGTGAGAAGCTCGGTCATCCGTGAGGGGCTCAGATTCAAGCGCTTCTCCTCCACGGCAAGAGGAGCCAGATGAAGTGGCTCGGGCATCTGATTAGGATGTCTCCTCGACAGCTCCCTTGTGAGGTGTTCCGGGCATGTACCACCGACAGGAGGCGCCAGAGAGACTTTGTCTCCCGGCGCACTTGGGAATGCCTTGCGATTCCCCAGGAAGAGTTGGAAGAAGTGGCTGGGGAGAGGGAAGTCTGGGCATTCCTTCTAAAGCTATTGCCCCCGTGACCTGACCCCGGATAAGTGGTACAGAACAGATGGATGGATGGATGAAAAAAATGGATGGCTGATAGACTGCAAATTAAGCTTTTTATCTCCAAGGTGAACGTAGAGAAAGTGGGACAGGCACTCTCACCGGACACCCGACGATGAGATCGCTGGCCCTGAGGTCCTCGCCATGCTGCTGGGCATGTCTCAGGATGGAGAGGGTCAAGTCAGTGGTCGGGTTGATGCCCCCCAGCTCCTCCAGGGCCTCGCAGTACTGCTCCAGCCTCTGTGGGGGTGCCTGCAGGCACTGAGGGAAACACAGAGGCGACAAGGGGGAGGCGGCGGTGGCAGGTAGCTTGGACTGACCAGCGGGAGGAGGGCAAGGGGAGGACGGGGAAACCGGAGGAACCAGGTAAGCATCTTTTGAAGGATCAAGGACATAAACGAGCATGCCAGCTAAATTTTAGAGATGATCGTTGGGTCTCATTGCATAGATACAAATTCATCAAAAGGTAACAAGGCAGACATTGCAAATTACTTCACTGCACTTATGGACAAGTTCCCACAACTCTACAAGACTGTTGATCGTCGTAATCAATTGAAAATAGATGTATTGCAGCCAAATAACGAGCTCATATACAATCTGATGCATGCAGATGATTGTGTAGGGGTGGGCAAAGTATTGCGCCGGGGCCACATATGGTGGCAGGAGGGCCCTGCAACATTCTTTAAGATGGCCCACTGAGCATTTATAGCATCAAGAGTCCTGTCCAATTGGCGGCATGAACATGTTTCTTTTCTGTCACTGATGACTTAAAATGTATTTATCGCATTACATAAATGGCCTATTTATTTCATAAAATATGCTAATTTTCAAAGTATTTTTATTAAAATAATTGATTAATGTTTGGAAAATGCTTTATAAATAATACAATGACAATTGAGAATAGATGATCATCATTTTTTAATGTCATCTACAAATGACCTGGCCCATCTGCCCATCTTAAAAGTCATCTGTGGCCCTCAAGCAGACGTTTGCTCTGCTCCCATCATTCACCCCCCCCCCCACCCCCACACTCCCTGAGAATGAAGTACTAAATTTTTCGATGGGTGAGCTTCATTCAAAATTTAGAACTATGAAATGCAAACTCAAGTGGTTTATTTAAAAATTTTTGAACTGAACTTTGAACTCATTCACATAGGAAATGGTATTTCCCAACACTTGGTTAACGGCCACTCACTTTAAAGAAGTCGGCAGCTTGCGTGACCAGAGGTGAATCCAGTTCCGGTTTGGTGCGGATGTAATGGGAATAATGCAGAAAGTGGTCCCGCTGTGACAAGAAAACAGCACAACACGTTCATTGAGAAGAAAAGTTGCCATAGTGGACTTTTCACTCACAAATTTACTGAAGCAGTCCTGCTGCAGCAAGCTTTGCACCAGCGCATCCTCCATGGCGGGCAGAAGTTCTTGTGAGTGGAAGGCAGTCAGGTCGGCCCAGCAGGGAAAGAGGCTGTCCGCCTTGCCCCGGATGGATTCTGGCGTGTCTGAGAGCTCCAGCAGGGAGAGGTAAGTCTCCTGCACCCCCTTGAGAACGGCCACATACTGTCGCTCGCTGCTCAGCATCCTGCACCAGAGCAGGTAGAGTTTGCTGCGGAGGAACAGCGGAAGGAAAGTAGAGGAAAAGATCAGCGGATGAAGAGGGGAAAAAAGGGGGCAGGCGGGCAGCTACCTCTGGACCGTGGATCCGGTTCGTTCCGTCCCCATCTCCCTCTCGGTCCTGCCTAGAAGCACGTGTTGCCGCGGAGAGCCTGTGTGGTCCACCACCTCTTTGCTGCTGACCTCCACCCCCCTGATCAACACCCCACCTCCCCCTTGGACGGCGGCAGCCATACCAGTGGTGACCACAGGGTCCACTAGGGCCCTGCGGCCCAGCCAGGACTTGGGGGAGGTACGGCACTCTGCGGCTTTGGGACTGCCAGCACCTCTGCGGGGGGCCAGGAGGGCCTGCAGGTCAAAGCTAGGGTGTCTCTTCCTGGGGGGCTTGGCAGGGAGCTGCGCCTCTGTGGGCTGAGAGGAGACAGACATCGTTAAGATTGCCAAGGCAGCATCAGAGAAGCAGAAAATGAAAATGGGCCATGCTCACGCTCTTCTTCAAAAGATTCTGCAGAAATTTTCCTCCTCCCCCTGCAGCCTCTTTTTTATATCCCTTCTCGTCTCCTATCTTCAGCGTGGAGCAAGTCTGCGGTCTGAACAACGAGGCCAGCGAGCCCCAAGACTGCAGCCCCCCCTCACTTCCTCTGGACCCAGACTCCCAGTCGCCCTCTCCCTCCGCGTCCCACAGGTTTCCGGCGATGGGCGTCTTGGCCTTCCCCTGGCCTTGGTTCTGGCCACGCTCAGATTGGAGGAAGCGCGGCTTCACCTGCGCTACGGTCTGCTGGTAACGCTCCACCGTGCGGCTCCACAGATCCAGCAGCGCTCCGCCGCCCAAGTCCACAGCCAACGAGCGGGCATCCTGGAAGCGGGACGGCGGAATGGGGGGGAGGGAGGCGAGGGGGCAAACGGGGGAGGCGGAGGAGACTTCGTCACACCACTGGGAAGCCTGGAAGGAGAGGGGAAACGTTCAGGTCTGCAGGTGGGGAAAGGCCCCGCTCCGACGCGCTCACCTCGGTCAGTGTGGACAGCAGCCGCTGCGTGTTGTCCAATGCAGTCCATCGGTCAGACAGACAGTGGGACATGTCCCGTAGACGCTCCTTGAATGAAGGGAGTTGGATCTGGATGTCGTTGAGGCCCACCCAGTCCAACTCGTTCCAAGTCTCCAGGTCGGTCAGCACAGACAGAGTTCGACTGTGCAGCTCCTGCAACAAAACAAGATCATTTATTTGTTCGAACTACCACTAGGTGGAGCCAGAGTATATTGGACAGCGACTGAGCTTTTCCAAAGGTCCTCTGGACTCATAAAAAAGATCAATCATCCATCCATAAAAAAAGACCACTTAGTAGAAAGATACACGTTTGGGGTCAATTTCTCACGTTTGCTGCTTCCCGCAACTGTTTGAACTTCTGCTGCTGGAGCGACAGTCTGCTCAGCGAGAGAGGCGGGTCCTTGTAGCCATGCACCTGCGACTGCACTCGCTCTATCTCCTCGTCACACTGTGAAGTTCAAACTGCACTTTTGTTCCTCTTACGGCAAACAAGTCCTCTGAATGCTCTCCGTTTGTCGACTCACCTTTTCCAACTGGTTCACCAGGCCAGCCAGTCGGCCCAGCGCGTCCAGGTTGCGAGCCCTCCGGTTGGATACTCGCACCAGCCGATGGAGGGCGTCGTCCACGCTGTCGTAAAGTTTGGAGGCGGTGGCGAGCGCGGCCCTGCCGAAGCACATTCGTCACGTTTATATCAGCGTTAGTCTGGGAGAACTCGGCTGCTCCGGATGTTTTTTTATTATTTGGGATAAAAACAAACAACTCTGTTCCCAGCCTGCTACCAGTGGCGGTTTCTGGTGCAATGTGTAAGGCCACAATGAGTGACAACATCCTTAAAAAAAAAAAAAAAAAGCAAAGACAAATGGTTTCCTATCTGCGTCACTACATTTGATTTCTGGAGTATTTGCGCCCCTTTGTGGAGACATTAAAATGAGGATCTTGCTCAAAAAGTGAGAGGTTATTGACAGGAAAGGTGACATCTTCGTTTTGCAAAGATCTCTGTATTTGAGGAAGGACCCAAGGTTAGCTGGTCTATCCTTTTGTCAATGTCATTGTGTTTAGTAATTTGTTCATGTCTTTTGATATTCTCTCGTGTTTGATTTTGTGCTGTTTTTGGTTTTGAGTTTGTTTCCGCTCTTTTTTTCTTTTGCTGTCGCATTTCCCTTGATGTTGTTTAGTTTCGTTTTTCGTTTATTAATTTGCTATTGTGTGTTCTTTATTGCCGTTTTATTCACGTTTTCCTCCCTTGTTCCATTTTTTTTTGTTGTTGTGTTGGGCACTTCAGAGCAACCGTTGCATAGCAAAACAACTATGACATCGAAACTCACAAAACACGCAAATTATATCAACTTCATGGATTAGCTCAGATGATTGAACATGAACTAAACTGTTTTGTTGAGAAGATAATAATCAATACAAAGACTGATTTTAGAACAATTGATAATAATTAATTGACTATGAATGTGTTTATATAGCTAACGCAAGTACACATATAGTGAGTAGAAAGTGGTGAATGTGCGAATACGGACTCTGACTCAGCGAACTGTACAGTATGACTTCACTTATGACTTTCATAACCCAGGTCATGACTTGCTTGAAATTTTATTGGGAACTGGACTTGAGTTTTTACCAAGGGATAAAAACTTGAATCTTTAGACTGGCCGCTCTCAAATATTGTTGTTCATCAAAAACACGGTAGATTACCTGCAATCTGGTGACGTCTGCGCCAACCCGCTGTTGGTCAATCCCGCCAGCCAGGCCCCGCCCCCACGTTGGAGCTCAGTCAAGCGGGAGTCGGCGAGGACGCTGGCCATGAGGCGCCGGTGCTTGTCCGTGCTCGCTGGTACCTCCTGGTGAAGCCACAGTTAGGTTCATTGATCAATGGCCGGGATTCTCTCACGCTTACCTTGATATTGTCAACCGTGGGCTCGGCGTCCATCGACTGCAGTGCCTCTCCCAGCAGGTGGAGGGCGCTCTCGCAGCGCTCAGTGAGACTCTCTAAACTCTAAAGAAGAAAAGATCCAAGGTTAGTATGTGTAGTGCTTTTCTTAACCGAGGTCTGAAATTCTAAAAAAAAAATATATACTGTATATATATATCTCAAGGCACCAATGGCTCTGAATCAGCCTGTGACACAAGCAGAGCGTGATTCTCTTACCAGTCTGAAGGAGAGCCAGTCTGAGTGGCAGTGGCTGAACTCGCCCCCCATTTCTGTGGGCAGCTGTTGCCTGTCTACAAACTGCTCAAGGACAGCTGTTCCTCGCACCATGTGGACCTGTGATGGAGAGGGAGGCGGAGGGGAGGACAATGCACAAATAAGAAGCTGCAAATCCTGACATGTCATGTTGCGGTGCATCCAAAACATGACTTGCTAAAGCCTGGCTTACTCTACAAATGTTCTTTTTTCAACGATGCAAACATCAATATATTCATGCGTTCTGCTTCATGTACTGCTCACCTCTATTCCCTCCAGGTCACAAGAAGGCTGCTGATTCTCCACCAAAAAAAGAACCGCTCCAAGACCACCAGGAACCAGCCGCTAGAACACACCATGTAAAGTTTGGTTTTGGCTTTCAGAATTAGCATCTTGGCGTGTCTCACCTGGAATAACCTGAGTGTGGAAAGGCAGAGCGAAGACGGCGGCGAACATCTGCTGTCAATCAACACCGTCAGACCTTTCTCTTTGGCCGCAGACCTGAGCGTGGCAGACGGATGGGAACGGGTTGTGAAGCACCGCTGCGTTCCTCATGCAAATGGCAGGAAGATCTTACCGCGTGATCCTGTGATAGCAGGCCAGGATGCGCGCCATCTCCTCACCGCTGCCGGAATCTCCTATCTCGGCCATGACCAGAGCACGTCCCAATCTGTCCACCGTACCTGCATGTGGTCAGTATTCAACACTCAATTAACCAATCAAACAACCAATCGAGGACTTATTTTTTTCCTGGGTTGGAAAATACCCGGCATCCGTAGTTGTCCTGACCAGAGGAGCTCTGTGTTTAATTCCCGAAGCAAAGAAGCCTCTTTACACGAATCACCGGCCTCTACCTCCTCATTTGTGGTGGTCAAGGCAGCCGAGAGGCCGTTGCAGACGGGCAAAGATTCTGCCTCTGTCCAGATCCACAAAGGAAAATTCACTCATGAGCACGTGCCTTCAATGTGGAAGAGAAGAATCCAGGTTTAGCCCACCTGCGCTGCTGGTTGTGGCGTTCTCCGACAGGCACTCGCCATCGGATGACGGTTCCGAACAGAGCTCCTCTGTGATTGGCCGCCGCGTTGAGCCAGAGCAGGAAGTGGAGCTCAGATGAGCATGAGCTTTCCCGTGCGTTTTGGAGCCCCCGCGGAAAGCGCGACCGCTGGGCCGAGCCTTCCCTTTGGCTCCCTTTCCCCTCCTCTTCCTCCTTGAAGTGAAGGACAGGTTTTCACACATGATGTCCACTCTTGCGACAGAATGTACTTGACAACGTAACTGTTCACTTTTGATAGTATTCATGGGACAAAAGCGTTCATATTGTGCACTGCATCATAATGAGAGCCATTTTGGTGATCTCTATCATTCACAGGAGAGAAATATTTGAAGCAGCTCTCTTTATGAAAACGTATGAAGCAGTAGCTGAGAAACGATCGATCAAAAGTGAACATTTTTAACTCATTCAATGCCAGCCATTTTCACTGGAGCAACCCCGTCAATCCCAGCGTTTTACTGGATTTTGACCCACAGAATATTTGGTTCCAATGCTATATAAACATTGAGCCTCCCAAAATAAAGTTTGGACTCTTCTTTCAGCAGAAAAATAAATTTGTTTCTATCTTTTTCCATCCTTAAGCAATCGGCATTACAAAATGGCTAAGTTTCATGGAAATGGCGATTCCTGGGCAAAAAACGGAGAAAAAGAGCTTTTTGTAAAAGCATGCATTTCAATCACGTGAGGCACCACTGCTACCTACTGGTCGCTTTTTTACATGATCTACAATGCAAACGGCTTATTCTCGTTCACAGATTGCATCAGACCCTCCTCCTCTCTATGACGCAAAAAAAACACTTAGACGTACAAGTACGTCTTGTGGAATGAAAGAGTTAATTGACACATGAGCTGATCATGTTGGCGGCTACCTTGGAGGTCTGAAGCCGCAAGCTTTGACTTCTTTTCCTCTCGTGCACTCTTGAATCTTCTTTTTGCCGTCATCTCTCATTTGGTTGGCTGTCACGTTATTGCTATCTGCCGCGCTCTTGCTATCCCTCGTGCTATTGCTAGCCAGGGCTGCAAAAGTTTTGTCTGGTGCATCCCACGTTGGTGTTGCAGAATCACTGTCGCCACTCTGTGGTTTGTCCGTGTCCTCGAATACAGAGTCTGAATGGGACCCCGGGTCGGAGCAGCCCTCTATGACATGTCCGATTGTGTCGGGGAGCTCTCTGGAGAGGCGAGTGCTTTCAGACTCTTCTCTCCTTGGCTGCGTCACCTTGTTCATCTCACCCTCACCCCCAACGCCAGGCCGCCTCTCTTTAAATGGGTGGCTTCCTCGGCCCTCGGTGTCTCTCTCGGTTATATCGCCTCCGCTATCGACGCCGTTATCAGCGCCGTTATTGCCCTCGGCAAGATATGGGAAGGATTGTCTTTCTGTGCTTGTTTGTGTGACTCTCGAAGGAAGCCCAGGCACGAGCACAGTGTCCTTGGGGGCAGTCAGATTTGATTTAGGTCCACAGATCCCTCCAACGCTACCAAAGCTGTCCATTTGGCCACCTCCCACCAACTTTCCCCTCCGCAGTTTGATGGCCTTCCCCCTCTTGCAAAGTGGCAAAGTCTTAGTTTTGCATATCCCGTGCATCTCCAAGTATCTGTGCCTCGAGTCAACACCTCCGTCCGGTCCTCCTCTTGGCTCCAGCAGCTCCACATAGTCTCCATCCAGCTCAGGATATCTCGCAGTCCGCCCGAGCCCATCTTCGCTGCGCCTCCGCCGGGGAAGCGCAGGCTCCGAGGCCAAGCCGTCCGGCAGCAAGGCCTTGTCTTTCTCTTCCTCCTCCTCAGCCCAGCCCCACGAGTCCCTGGACCGCTCCTCGGCTAGACCCTTGGACATGTAGCCGTCGGGGTTGGAAGGCGGGCGAGCTTCCTCAGACGGGTCGTGGATGAATTCGGGGTAGACCACCTCCTTCCACGGAAGGCGCAGGACACCGTCGCAGGTGCTCACCAAGCAGGTGTCCAGACCACCGCCTGCTACGTTGACAGCAGAACACAAGTTACTTCTGACTGCTGGATGGATTCAAGATCTGAATGGAAGCGTTACCTTCCCTCCTGTGGCCCCGTTCTTTGTTGATGCTGTGCAGCCACTCGCTGGTGAACACGAGGGGATGCTGGGACTCAGGCACTAGGATTTCCTGAACAGTGCGCCCACCGGGGGCCAGACACTTGAGGGCCAACCGGGGACAGCGGGTAGAGAAGGGTACCACTTGCAGATAGAAGTCATTGCTCCGCAGGAGCCTCCAGTCCAGGGTAGAGAGCTGGACCACCACTTTATTGCCAAGACACAGTGGCCAGCCGGAGTGGAGGAAGAGGCAGCCCAGGTACTGAGACTGGGAAGACAGACGGAAAGTCTCAAAACGCGTGCCACTGTTGACTTCAGAATAGCAACTTTGAATCAAGTTTGGAGAACATATCCAGTGATAATTTTACAGTTTAACCCCAGCGAATCAGGGACTCGCTGATCAGAAAAGTACGAGTCCCATTAGGCATTTAGAGAGGCCCAAATTTCGAATTCTGAAATGGTCTATTTATTCAATTGCATATGATAATAACACAAACAACAACAATATCCATTGATAATAGGTTTATTTCTTATAAACAAATGCTGCAAAAATTTAATTAATCCAGGCATACAAGATTCGCTGAGAAATAGGTTCTTATTTCATCCCATGGTTCAGTCTTTGAGTTCATAAATTGTCCTCTCTTTACTCTGCTTCCAGTGATGCAAGGCTTTCTCAAAGTCAACTTATTATCGCAAAAAAACTATCCAACTTTAGCTGCTTCCTCTGTGATATCTCCACAATAAACCTTCGCAACACTTGTTCGCAACACCTGTTATAACGTTACACAACTTGGCAATCGTCTGCTTTCCGCGAGGTTCAATGCCGATCTCGCCAATCTCGACTCGCGAGAATGGAAATCTCGTTACGCGAGATTATTTAACGCGAGAGCAAAACAACAATGGCGGCGATTGTCAAACTGCGACACTGCGTTGCTGGAAAAAAAGATGTACCGTAGTTTGTTGTTGTTGTTTTGACTGAGAAATTTCCTTGCGTCCCAAAAACGCACATTATGTGGAACTGTGCGTCCCGCGGGAAAATTATACGTCTAGGACGCGGGACGCGGAGGTAACGAGATGACTGCATATAGGAGGAACCTAGAATCCATCAGGTGTCATATCAGCTCTCTGGAACTTGTGCTGCTTCTCTCAGACGACCCCGGACCCTCATTCAATTCACTTCCACATTCCGCCTGTGTTTATTTTCACTCCCTGAACGCTTTTCTTCCACATGGAGACTCCCTTTGGCGGCCCTGGTCTGGACTCGGGCCCGTCATGACTTCGGCACTCTGAAAGCCAGTTGTGGCTGTATTGCTCCACTGTGTCCTCCATGGCTTCCTTCTCTCCTCCAATGGCTTCATCAGTTGGCGCCCCCTCCCCCACAGTCATCAATGCGACCCCTATAGTCTGTAACTTTCAGCCGCTTCAATTTATTTTTTTTTAATGCATGAGAATGAAGCCAACTCTCATTTCTCGAAAGATCTCGCTCGCTCTCCAGTTAAACGTCCAGGTCTCTCTATTACTCGTTTTGCTTCTCTCACATCTGGAAGGAATTATTGTCATGACTCACCATCTCAGTGCAGCTCAGCGACAAGGGAAAACAGCCTCTCGAATGCACGTGTCTGCAGTGCACACACGTGCACTCGCAAACACAACTGGACTTAAGTCCAGTGCGTCACACTAAGCTTATTTTATCCTCCGTCTGACGAAAAGTCAAACTCACACAGGCATGTTGCTGGAGCTTGTGAAGGAGGTGCTTGGCAGGGACAAAGTAGTCCAGGAGGTAGCGAAGGCTGTCCTGCTGGTAGGTGGACTCCAGCACGGTGAACACCTGTGGGGAGAACATAGCGACTACTCCATCTGTTGGATGTCACAAATCTTTGTGTGTGTCCGCGTATGCGGGTGTGAGACATGCAATACCTGCGAGAGGAGAGGCGGTGCAGTACTTTCAAAAGGTGGGTAAAGGGACGAGAGCGCCCCCTGGACACAATCCTCCATGGCCTCTGAACCCTGATTGGGACAACAGAGCTGGAATCAACTTTTGTAGGTTGAGCGGACGCATGTGCGCACGCGCACACTCAGTGTGGCCTCACTCCTCGCGGCTTCCTGTTGAACATTCTGGGGAGTGTCAAACATTTCCCTTGCGAGGGCTGGCAGTCAATGTGGAACCCTCACTCTCCCTTTCACACACAAGGAGTGTTTATTTTCCGACGTGGCCTGTTGACATGGCAACATGCAACTTCTGCTCCCCCTTTTCTGAATTTTGTTTCTCTCGCCACCCCCGCCACCACCCCGCCAGCCCGCACACACACACACACACACACACACACACACACACACACACACACATAGTAAAGCCATAATTGTATTTTCATGGGTTTCATGTTTTACCTCCACCCAACCATGCACGTCATCTGACAACAATGACCTGGATTTCATCTCCTGCTGTCGCCATCGTGAATTGGAAAAAAAAAATGTCAAAGTACAAGCTGGAATGCAGAAAAAGAGGTTCGGGTTGAAGTGACTTTTGATGTGCAAGCTCGATCTTTTCAGGCACTGATCCGCTTAAGCCAGGTCCACACGCGAGCATTTTGTACATCGTAACCTCATTTTCAAACACGAGTCAGCGCGCTAGATGGGAAAATACACGAGTGTTGTTGCTGCTTTTCTAGCAGCACGGTGGTGGTGGACCACTCGCTGGGAATGGGACTGCACTCAATCCGTATTTTGTACAATTGAGGAACATTTTGGTAGATGGCAATGTCCCGATGTGTGCATTTCAACATGTTGAGTATCGAGTTCCACTGAGGCGGGGTGCTGCTCCGAGTGGAAAAGTGTTGCGTGGGTGTGAAGGGTCCCAAAGTTGCTGTAGTAACGAATGATTTGGGTTCATAAATTCTGAGTTCCGTGGTAAAAGGGGGGAAAAAAAGATGTTTTTGTTATATTTTCCTTCTCAAGTTAAAGATCAACACCAGCTCGACTCTTGCTGTTCCACTCTCATCTTTGCAAAGAAGTTACAGTGTATGTCTCTGACAGACCAAAAGAGAGAAAAGGAGACAACTCCAGAATGTGTGTGCGCAAGAAACAGAGAAGGAGGTGGAGGAGGGAAAAGTGTTGCGAACGGTGGGAAAGCCGAGCGTCCATGATGGGAAGCAGATGTGAGGAGTGTCTACCGACTCGACTACGGACCCAAAAAACACAGAATGCAAAAGCGGACTAATTCTCGCCTGCCCGAGAATGTGGACAACTCTCCGCTGCCCGGTGCCCAAGTGCATTATGGGAAATGAGGTGCCTGTCTCATATTCCAGCAAGGACAAGCGACTCGATTGTCTGCAATGAGCACACGTCAGAGTTGTGGAATGGACTCGGGGTTGATGTGGTCCACATGCATTTGTTGATGAGTTGGGACTCACGCAGTCTGTCAACAAAGGCAGGAAGTGTCGTTCGCCAGGGATTTCTGTGATTGGCCCGTCTGCTTCCATTTGCGCTTCACAGAGCAGACACAGAAGAAGAGCATGTGTGTTTTCCCCGAAACTGCTTGGGGAGAGACACGTTCGTATGGGGTTGCCTACCAAAAAGCCCGGTTTTAACTTTTTTTCCCTTTCTCTCTCTCGCTCTCACTTTATTTCTCATGTCCAATGTGGAAAATGCATCATGGGTTCACAAGTCGCCAAGCCTCTCCCCCTTTGTGCTCTTTCCCTTCCTGGCTCGGGCCACCCTGCTCCACCCTGCAAACACACTTATTCTTGTTTCTGACCAAGTCTCCTCCCACTCCGAGATGGTCCGGGAACATGCAGAGCTCAAAGTTGGTTCTGGCGAGAGTCCTTCTAAACGTTCATTTCGGCGGAGCTAAACAAAAAGCAAAAGTTTTTCATCAAATCGTGAGACTCACCATGGCTGAGACCGCAATCAAAGTCAGTCCACGGCTCCTTTCCTGGACCGGCTTCCTCTCGGCATCTCCGCAGCGCCCTTCAACTCTTAACGGACCGTTTTCTCATCACCTTCACGGGATCGAGCGCCTCGTCCTGTGTACTCGCCACTGGATTTCCCAGTCTGGAAATGTACAAGCTGCATAGCCCTCACTCCCACAAACGTCCCACCACCACTCCTCCATCTCCTCCCCCTTCCCCCACTAAGCCAACAAGAGCGCCACAGTCTTGCTGTACACTCAGACTTTCCATTCTTAGCCCTAGAGGGAGCTAAAGCGGCGGACAACACGAAGGCACTTTTATTTATATGAGCAACGGCAGGAGAGCGGTTGAGGATGCGAGGTGGATGACTCAGATGTCTTTGGATTGAAAGTATCCTCAACCGACCCTTGGGAGTTGGAGCAGCAAGCAACCATTTAAATCGAGAAAACGGCTTGGATGTCCCCTCCAAAAAGAAATTAAGAAATAAATAACATTTTGGTGTCTGACATCGCTCCGGAGCAAGAGTCTGGACAAAGAGTAGAGAAGCACGAACTCCAAGGCGTTTCAAGTCAAGTGCGAAGGCTCCACATTTGGTGATGGTTTGGTTGCCGTGTCACGAGCAGACTTCTGAAGGCCAATGTCAACTCTGTCGTTTGTCAAGACATCGTCAAGACCAAGTTTGATGGAAATGCATCGCCCAGGACCTGGCACTTGCCTACGCTGCCAAAACGTAGTTGTGCGTTATGTCGATTACCAACATGAAGCTGAGAGACGCCACAGCCAATAAAGCAATCACATTTGAAGAAATCAAGTTTTCTGAATCTGCAATTTAAGGAAGACACTTCAACAAGGCCAACGTTTCGAGAGCAAAGTACTTTTGGAATTGTGAAATAAACTCGAAAGTTTCACGAAATCTTACAGTATTGGCCCGAATATAAGACGGTGTTTTTTGCATTGAAATAAGACTGAAAAAGTGGCCGTCGTCTTATATTCGGGGTCTAGACATTTTACCCATTCACAACGCTCGGTGGCGCCAGATATCATTGAAGCGAATGCTGAACTTGAATCCCCAGGCCAAAGCGAACCCCTGTCACAAAGAATTAAAATAAAAATAGTGGTAGCACGAAGAAGAAAAATAAAAAAATGTTCAGATATTAAGATTTGAATGAGGCAAAATAACATGTTTTTTCTCTCAAATATATTGTTATAATCATTTGTTTCAGATGTACTGTAATTATTTTCTGTATAAAAATGTATTTGGTGTTCAAAAAGTCTTTTTTCAAACTTGAGTCTTGAAAAAGAGGGGGTCGTCTTATAATCAGGACCGTCTTATATTCGGGCCAATACGGTATTTGAGATGCACCTACAAATATGGTACTCAACAGACTCATACACGTAGACATTCAAACATTCATTTATTCATTTTCCGATCCACTTAATCCTCACAAGGGCCGCGGGGGGTGCTGGAGCCCATCCCAGCCGTCTTCGCGCAGTAGACGGGGGACACCCTGACCCGGTTGCCAACCAATCGCAGGGCACACACAGACGAATAACCATCCACGCTCACACTCACACCTAGGGACAATCTTGAGTGTTCAATCAGCCTGCCATGCATGTTTTTGGAATGTGGGAGGAAACCGGAGTACCCGGAGAAAACCCACGCAGGCCCGGGGAATACATGCAAACTCCACACAGGGAGGCCAGAGCCGGGATCGAACCCACGACCACTGCACTGCGAGGTCGATGCGCAAACCACTGGCATACTTTACATATTTAAGTGAGCAGATGCCACATTGCCTGGAACCATCGAAAGCTATTTCTTGGTCCACCTGAATCTTTCAAGCACACTTTCAATCAACTCTGGCGGGACTCGCGTGCTGGTGTCAGAGAGTGGCCTGACGTTAAAACACATTACATTAAAAACAAGTCATGAAGTCTGTGAAAGATTTATTAATCAAACACATGAAAAACCCAACTGAAAGTTTAAACTAATAAATTATCAAATATTTACATATAATCATCCAAAACCGAGTCGGTAAAAATACAACCTCAAGATGTTTATTGCAATCGAGGTTCTCACAGTGCAAGAACAGCCAGCAGGGCCACCACGACAAGCAGAGCTGGAAGAGGTCCGGACGAGCAGGGAAAACAACAATTAGTCAAGACAAGGAAAAACAACACTCTGGACGACTCGAATTTCCTCAGCTCACCTTTTGTCAGCGAGTGCTTCTGTTGGTGGGAGGCGCGGCTCGTGGTGGCAAGCGGCATTGGCGTTGTGGGGGCTGTGGTGGGCACAGGTGTGGCGGTGGTGACGTTTAGCGTGTTGATGACCGTTGCGTTCGGTTCTGCCAGGTTCACAACGTTGGTGGTCAACTGTGGGGTGGGAGGTCCAAAAGTCGCGGTCGCTGGAGGTTGGAACCAAACTCAAAGTCATTTTCGTGATGGTGGAAGGGTGATGTGTGTCGTTACGGTACGTTGGCTTACTGCTGTTAAACTGTCCAGTAGAGATGGACAGCGAGAACTGCGGTGCGGAATTTTGACGCTTCTTGCGCGTAGAGCCGGACACAGAACTTGATGGCGCGGCAGTGAATGTACACTGGATCTTTCTGGCTGAGACGCTGCCTCTCACAGATTGCGCTGGAAGCTGCCACAGAAAAGCACCAGTCGGAAATATCCGGTTGGATTTGAATGCCGAGTCAAAAGCGGACGATCACATGCAATAACTCAAAAGGAGCAAGATGTTGAATTCAACTTACAGACGTTGGCGTCAGTTCGCCGTCACGGAGCAACGCAGTAAAGAACCGGACCTGACCGCGATTGTTTGCACAAATGTAGGTGGTGTCATTAGTTCCCTGCGGTGTAAAAGTAAAAAACAGAATTAATGAAGCCCAACTGTCAAAACTCATTACAGGTCAACAATGTGAGACAAGATGACTTACCGATGTGGTGGCTGGAGACAGCGTGCAAGCCACATAGCCCTCAGACTCTCCAGAGATCGTGAATTCAAAGTTTGCACCGTCCACTGCTTCCACAGAAGTAAAAAAACAGGATCCATCCTGACCTGGATTGCAATTGGAAGGCTCAGCAGCACACAGCCGCTGACTGGCACAACCGTCATTAGAGACAACATCCTGACAAACAAACAAACAGACGTTATGAATTATCGTAACGTTAGTTCGCGAACAAAATCTCCACACGTTCAACAAGCACCTCCAAGACCTCCACTGGGGATTCTGCAGGCTCCAATTCATCATCCGCCTCATTGCCTCCTTCCTCACCGCCGCCACCCGGCGTCTCTTCTTCCTCGCCGCCGGCGGGTGCCCCTTCTTCCTCGCCGCCGGCGGGGGCCCCTTCTTCCTCGCCGCCGGCGGGGGCCCCTTCTTCCTCGCCGCCGGCGGGGGCCCCTTCTTCCTCGCCGCCGGCGGGGGCCCCTTCTTCCTCGCCGCCGGCGGGGGCCCCTTCTTCCTCGCCGCCGGCGGGGGCCCCTTCTTCCTCGCCGCCGGCGGGGGCCCCTTCTTCCTCGCCGCCGGCGGGGGCCCCTTCTTCCTCGCCGCCGGCGGGGGCCCCTTCTTCCTCGCCGCCGGCGGGGGCCCCTTCTTCCTCGCCGCCGGCGGGGGCCCCTTCTTCCTCGCCGCCGGCGGGGGCCCCTTCTTCCTCGCCGCCGGCGGGGGCCCCTTCTTCCTCGCCGCCGGCGGGGGCCCCTTCTTCCTCGCCGCCGGCGGGGGCCCCTTCTTCCTCGCCGCCGGCGGGGGCCCCTTCTTCCTCGCCGCCGGCGGGGGCCCCTTCTTCCTCGCCGCCGGCGGGGGCCCCTTCTTCCTCGCCGCCGGCGGGGGCCCCTTCTTCCTCGCCGCCGGCGGGGGCCCCTTCTTCCTCGCCGCCGGCGGGGGCCCCTTCTTCCTCGCCGCCGGCGGGGGCCCCTTCTTCCTCGCCGCCGGCGGGGGCCCCTTCTTCCTCGCCGCCGGCGGGGGCCCCTTCTTCCTCGCCGCCGGCGGGGGCCCCTTCTTCCTCGCCGCCGGCGGGGGCCCCTTCTTCCTCGCCGCCGGCGGGGGCCCCTTCTTCCTCGCCGCCGGCGGGGGCCCCTTCTTCCTCGCCGCCGGCGGGGGCCCCTTCTTCCTCGCCGCCGGCGGGGGCCCCTTCTTCCTCGCCGCCGGCGGGGGCCCCTTCTTCCTCGCCGCCGGCGGGGGCCCCTTCTTCCTCGCCGCCGGCGGGGGCCCCTTCTTCCTCGCCGCCGGCGGGGGCCCCTTCTTCCTCGCCGCCGGCGGGGGCCCCTTCTTCCTCGCCGCCGGCGGGGGCCCCTTCTTCCTCGCCGCCGGCGGGGGCCCCTTCTTCCTCGCCGCCGGCGGGGGCCCCTTCTTCCTCGCCGCCGGCGGGGGCCCCTTCTTCCTCGCCGCCGGCGGGGGCCCCTTCTTCCTCGCCGCCGGCGGGGGCCCCTTCTTCCTCGCCGCCGGCGGGGGCCCCTTCTTCCTCGCCGCCGGCGGGGGCCCCTTCTTCCTCGCCGCCGGCGGGGGCCCCTTCTTCCTCGCCGCCGGCGGGGGCCCCTTCTTCCTCGCCGCCGGCGGGGGCCCCTTCTTCCTCGCCGCCGGCGGGGGCCCCTTCTTCCTCGCCGCCGGCGGGGGCCCCTTCTTCCTCGCCGCCGGCGGGGGCCCCTTCTTCCTCGCCGCCGGCGGGGGCCCCTTCTTCCTCGCCGCCGGCGGGGGCCCCTTCTTCCTCGCCGCCGGCGGGGGCCCCTTCTTCCTCGCCGCCGGCGGGGGCCCCTTCTTCCTCGCCGCCGGCGGGGGCCCCTTCTTCCTCGCCGCCGGCGGGGGCCCCTTCTTCCTCGCCGCCGGCGGGGGCCCCTTCTTCCTCGCCGCCGGCGGGGGCCCCTTCTTCCTCGCCGCCGGCGGGGGCCCCTTCTTCCTCGCCGCCGGCGGGGGCCCCTTCTTCCTCGCCGCCGGCGGGGGCCCCTTCTTCCTCGCCGCCGGCGGGGGCCCCTTCTTCCTCGCCGCCGGCGGGGGCCCCTTCTTCCTCGCCGCCGGCGGGGGCCCCTTCTTCCTCGCCGCCGGCGGGGGCCCCTTCTTCCTCGCCGCCGGCGGGGGCCCCTTCTTCCTCGCCGCCGGCGGGGGCCCCTTCTTCCTCGCCGCCGGCGGGGGCCCCTTCTTCCTCGCCGCCGGCGGGGGCCCCTTCTTCCTCGCCGCCGGCGGGGGCCCCTTCTTCCTCGCCGCCGGCGGGGGCCCCTTCTTCCTCGCCGCCGGCGGGGGCCCCTTCTTCCTCGCCGCCGGCGGGGGCCCCTTCTTCCTCGCCGCCGGCGGGGGCCCCTTCTTCCTCGCCGCCGGCGGGGGCCCCTTCTTCCTCGCCGCCGGCGGGGGCCCCTTCTTCCTCGCCGCCGGCGGGGGCCCCTTCTTCCTCGCCGCCGGCGGGGGCCCCTTCTTCCTCGCCGCCGGCGGGGGCCCCTTCTTCCTCGCCGCCGGCGGGGGCCCCTTCTTCCTCGCCGCCGGCGGGGGCCCCTTCTTCCTCGCCGCCGGCGGGGGCCCCTTCTTCCTCGCCGCCGGCGGGGGCCCCTTCTTCCTCGCCGCCGGCGGGGGCCCCTTCTTCCTCGCCGCCGGCGGGGGCCCCTTCTTCCTCGCCGCCGGCGGGGGCCCCTTCTTCCTCGCCGCCGGCGGGGGCCCCTTCTTCCTCGCCGCCGGCGGGGGCCCCTTCTTCCTCGCCGCCGGCGGGGGCCCCTTCTTCCTCGCCGCCGGCGGGGGCCCCTTCTTCCTCGCCGCCGGCGGGGGCCCCTTCTTCCTCGCCGCCGGCGGGGGCCCCTTCTTCCTCGCCGCCGGCGGGGGCCCCTTCTTCCTCGCCGCCGGCGGGGGCCCCTTCTTCCTCGCCGCCGGCGGGGGCCCCTTCTTCCTCGCCGCCGGCGGGGGCCCCTTCTTCCTCGCCGCCGGCGGGGGCCCCTTCTTCCTCGCCGCCGGCGGGGGCCCCTTCTTCCTCGCCGCCGGCGGGGGCCCCTTCTTCCTCGCCGCCGGCGGGGGCCCCTTCTTCCTCGCCGCCGGCGGGGGCCCCTTCTTCCTCGCCGCCGGCGGGGGCCCCTTCTTCCTCGCCGCCAGCGGGTGCCCCTTCCTCCTCGCCGCCAGCGGGTACATCTACGTCGTCGCCGACAGCGGGTGCCTCTTCTCCCTCATTTTCACCGACGCCCTCTATGCCATAGGCAGCCAAAACCAAGCCAGCCAATATCAAAACGAGGACCTTTTTTTTGGACATTGGTTCCAAAACACGATCTGGCTTGATGGATGGAAAAGAGGAGACAAATTTAGAATCATGTTTTGACAACAAGTTTAGACAAAGTAAGGAACAGACATCAATGTTTTACTGATAAAATAAAAATAGACAGATCGATAGATATCCATCTCTCCATTTTCTGAACCGCTTTATCCTCAAGATGGTCGCGGGGCATGCTGGAGCGTATCCCATCTGTCTTCAAGCAGTAGGCTGGGGACACCCTGAACTGGTTGTCAGTCAATCGCTGGGCGCACAGAGAGGAACAAGCTTCCGCGCTCATACTCACACCTCGGGACAATTTAGAGTGTAGGTGTCAAACTCAGGTCCTGGAGGGCAGCTGTCCTGCATGTTTTCCAAGTCTCCCTGTTGCAACACACCTGATTCAAATGATCAGATCGTCAGCAAGCTCTGTGGAAGCCTGACATTGAACCTGTTCATTTGAATCAGGTGTGTTGCAACAGGGAGAATTGGAAAACATGCAGGACAGCGGCCCTCCAGGACCTGAGTTTGACACCTATGGTTTAGCGTGTTCCATTAACATGCCATGTGCATGTTTTTGGAAAGTGGGAGAAAACCGGAGTACCCAGACAAAACCCACCCATGGCGGTATCGAACGCACGACCTCTGCACTGTGAGGTTGACGCACTAACCACGTGATCACCAGGCCGCTTGTGTGTGCATATATATATATATATATATATCTCAGAGGCAATTGCTCTAAGATTGCAAGGGAAGCTCAGCTTCCCCTAAAATGTCCAAAAATAAGTGTTCAAATACATGTGTGTACATACAATTGTGTGCACGTGTCATTGACTAAATATAGTCAATACAACATGCTCAACTTTTTTCCGAATCAGCTTCTTATTACTGGTTACGACGCGACTCTCTTCTCATTCATTTGCGCAGCAGTTCACTGTGCTTTAAACTGTGTGGACGGTGAGCGTCTACAGCGCGGACGCTGGGCCTCTAGAGAGATCAGTTAGGTTGTCCCAATCCATTGAAACGAGACGAGTCATTGGATAAATGCTGGTTTTTCCCCGCCCATCTGACGCTCAGCGTCTCTGGGAGTCTATGGACAGTGGGCATTTATGGGCTGGCCTGGGTGCTGAGCTTTTCTGCATAATGATTGGATGATCTGTCTGAGGCTGAATCTCCTTTTGATTGACAGCGAAATGAGCCAATCACCGATCTTTTGGTGTAGACATCCATGGGAGCATTTTTCAATTCTCATTCTAATCTGAGTTGTTCTGGAGACTTCTTCTAATCATCTTAGTGATACTCTCTTTGTTGAAAAGGACTAGAGACAAATTAATCTTTTATTTCTAGTGGGTTTTGTTGTAGTTGTAGGACACTCGTTAAGTCCCTGGAAAAGACGCCTTGTTGGTATGACAGGGTCACAGAAAATTTTCTTGAAAAGGAACGGAGAGTAGAATCCACGTATAAATAAATGGACACATTTTATGATGTAGGCCGAAATTGAGCTTCCCCTCCTTGACAGCCCAGCATCCGCCACTGATTTTATCCA